AAAAAACGGTGGTCGAGTTAACTAACACTGATCATTCTCGCGCCCGCTCCAAAGAGTCTGCCTTCTGGACGAGCTTGGCCAAGAAGACGATCGAGGACAGCCTGCTGAAGCGCAAGGAGATCACCGGCGTCGCCAAGAACGTCATCATCTTCATGGGCGACGGCATGTCCATCCCCACGCTGGCCGCCACCCGCGTCTTCATGGGCGGCGAGAACAAGCAGCTCAGCTTCGAGCGCTTCCCGGCCGTCGGGCTGTCCAAGGTGCGCGTCGGGGACAACAACCCGTCCAATCGAGTGGCTATCTCGCAACGTCGTACACCTGCATGTTCTTGCGCTATTTAAAAAAAATAAATGTAAATGTGAATGATTTTTGTGATTTCAGACGTACTGCGTGGACGCCCAGGTGGCGGACTCGGCGTGCAGCGCCACCGCCTACCTCTGCGGCGTCAAGGCCAACATGGGCACCATGGGGGTCAACGCCAAAGTGCCCAAGTGAGTTACGTGAGCGTAAGCCGAGGCTTAAGCTTTGCCCCGCCGGTAGTCAATACTACACTATCACCCTACATCCTATCATCATCCATATCCTCTCGACCGGCTGTGTTCGGCACTCGACGTGCCGCCCGGCGCACGCGCGCATGGTCTTTGTCCACTCGGCGAACGCTAATTTGACGCTACAGTCGAGGGGATTTGGAAGCAAAAAAACTTGTTATCTCTGCGGGATTAAGTAGTGGGGTTCAGTGAAGATCCCCTCGTCCCGCCCGGACCGGGCCGCCCGTTCGCACGACACTTGCGCGGTCCTCGCGGTAGCCGCGGCCGCGGCTTCTTATCTCGCGACATGACAGGTCCTCCTGGACCTCGAGAGCAGTGTGGTCGCGCCCGTCGCGTCCGCCTCGTGTGTGTCCTTGGCTCTTTCGCAAGGGTCATGAGCACCGCTTCGTACGTGTGCCATGTTGTGCTGATTACTGTTTTGCGCGGGATGGCCGCGTCGCCCACCACGCTCTTATTAGGACAAATCAAAGAATCTGGGTGACACCGTGTGTCTGGAACGAGCCCAATGTCAGAAAACGATCGTGATGAATGATTGTAAGCAATTACATGCCGCGGGTGGGCTGCGCTCAGAAAACCGTTTTGTCCGCTGAACGAAAAAATAGTGTCAATGAGGCCAACAAAAAATAACTTTCGTCATACATGTGTTTGATCGGTTTCATTATATTTTTGTCCCACAAATAACAATTATTTTCCTTAAAGTAAATCTTGTTTTTTCCAATTCCAACACTGTATTTTGGTTCTGCTGACAAAGGGCTTTTCTGAGTGTGATCACCCCGCGCACTCCTCCCAGTTTTTATGATGTACCTAATTCCCTGCTGCGTGCAGGTGCGGTACTCGGGTGCGGTACAGTACAGCGCACGCGGCGCGGCGCTAATCAGCCACCTTGTACAATGTAATGAGTCAGAGATACAGTAGCGCGCGATGTCTACATTGTCTTGACTGACTGGAGTGGACGCCGGCGCCGACAGATTTCCTGTCCGAACACACAATGCCTTGGTCGGGCCGGGCCGGGCACTGCGGAGGAGCAGCAGCTCGCACAGTGTGTGTCCTTGACGCTGCCGATCGCACCACGCCACGCCGCGCCCGCTCGGGCGGACCCACAATAAAGCACTCTTGCTCTGTCTGGCGAACCTTCGCCCCGCGGTGGGATCAGCTCTAAAGCGCTTTACCCGGAGAGTGTACGCCGCAGCACGCGCGCGCCGCACTCGTCTCACAGAAATAGCTTATTCCTGCTCCCGAGCCCGAACACAAAGTGGGAGAGCGGGCTCCGAGAGCGGGCGCCGCGGCGACAGGGACGTACACGAGACACCACCATCAGGCGCCACCATATGGCGGTGGCCGCTCCCTATCGCACCCCGCGCCACCGGGCCATAGCCCGCAACATTTACAAGAGTGGCGTGTTTGTGAGCCGTTTGTGCTCTGCACACTCGACGACGCCAGATATATGAGTGCATTGGGTGCGCGTGTTCCGGAGCATGTGAGCAATAAACAGAACGGACCACCTAGACCGTCCAGGTCCAGGACCGCGGCGCCCACGGGCCGACCGCCACGCTCCCCTACTCCCCCACAAAAAGGAAACTGATAAATAGATTCTAAACATCCCCCGCCCCTCTCGGCTTGCACGTCCATCACGGCTACCTGTCACGCGAGTGTTACGCGCAGCCCCGCGGCGCCCCGCGCGCCCCGCGTGGCATCGGCCCCTCCTGCGGCTAGGGGCAGGGCGAGGAGAGGAGGGGTGGGATTGATCGTCAACACCCAGCTCCCCTCTTTCCCTCC